AGCTTGATTGAGCAGACGAAGATGACGATGACGAAGACGAGGAGCTCGAACGACCATGACTTCTGGAAACTCTGGAAGAATGCGTTTTCAGTGAACGAAATAGTAGAACAGAAGGACTGGTCTGTGTCATGTGTCGGAAGACATTTTACGATGCAGTCGGTGTCTCATCCCTTAGCTGTAGATACAGATAAGCACAAATAAAGCAAATAAGGAAATCGAAAAATGAAGGAAAACTAAAAAAGATACTTTCTCTCCGAGCTCGGTTCCTTTTTCTCGTCCTTTTCCTCAATATAAACATTCTCAATTGCTTCTTCCAGAGTTTTCCCTTCGGCTTTCAGCTTCTCCTCAACAGCCTTCCTGATTGTATTTTTCTTCGCGTAATATTCGAGCAAACCAAGCCTTTCCCATCCATCGCTACAAAAGAAATCTTATCATTAATAATTAAAAGCAAACCTGCTTCGCTTGATGGTCAGACCCCTTTTGAGCTGACACTGGGACGCGTTGAGTATCCTCATTTCGACTCGAACGCTGTTTCTTATCGAGAAGGAGGGAATGGGGGAGGGGGAAGGGGTGTTCAAAAAAATAAGGGTTAAATTTGAAAACTTTTTCAGAAAAACTGGCCTGGCAAGAAAAAAACTGGTCTTCGTTCAAATCGGGCAACATAATTTTTTACAAAACTTTTGCCGAAGAAATCGAAACGCAAGGATTTATTTTAGTCCACAAGTTTCATAAATTCAAGCAAAACTCTTGCAAGACTTAAAAATAAACCCAAAACTTTGCAATAAAATGAAGTAAAAACCTACGCGTCTCGTGGATTATCCAAAGCAGGTGGGGCATAGAATGCATCCATCGCACGTAGCAATCTTTCACTTGGTGGAATCGGTGGTGGTAGACGTAGTTTTGACACAATTACCGGTTTATACTGAAAAACGCATTCAGTCATTATACAAGAACAAATACATCATATTAAACGAAAAGTACACAAATGGTTGAATTAACTAAAGTAAAACGCAGTACGGGCCTCAAAGGCCCTGTGAGGGAATGGAAGAGGGTAGTAACCAGGGCCAGGAACAGCGGCCCGTCCAGCGCAGGGTATCGACCGCCAAGGGTCGCACCAACCCTACATGGCCTAAGGAGACAACCTAAGAAGACAATTTCTTCATCTGCTGAAGCCGTAATTTACAATTCTATCATTCTACCAGCGGTGTGAAACGTGGAATACCACTTCTGCTGAAGGAAGGGAATTGGCAGTCTCTCAAAGACGTCGATGACATACAGCTGCTCAAGTATTCAAGTAGCAAGCAGACAAAATCCAATCAGAAGAGACATAATCCCCTCCAACAGACAAAATTCTATTAAGGAAGCAAAACCCTACCCCTTCATCCTACCAGACATTAGCAACAGCGATGAGAAACGGTAAGAAGTATGCAACATCTCCAGTTCAAAAACCACCCGTGTGTTGGCAATCTTCCAAATCCGAAAATATCACGATAGATACAAACCAGACCGATTGAAACGCGCCAAAAACGTATGTATCACCAAAGAAGAATCCGGTTTTATCAAAATTTTATCATGTATAAAAAAACGTACCAGGACATCTTCCATATCAATCAGTGGCATCATCATACCGGCTGGCAAATCGTAGTACGGTGCAGTTGGAATTAAGCTAGCGTCATCAAACATCTGCAAACGAAGAATTACGATTCAAAAATGCCTCCAAGTCAATAAGGTACTCATTCAAAAATGCCTAAGGTCTAAATACTACAACGTTTGAAATGAGATTTTGATGCCAAAAACGTACCAGCGGCTTTCCGAAAAGTTAAAGCCATGGCAAATATTTCTGTCAGGAGAACATCTGAACTGGTAGTCTTTTCAAAAGAGGAAACGAACTGAATCTCTACCAGCCTGACTACGGGGCCATGCAGTTCTCGTGGGCGGTGCTCCATTTTGAAAATGGTTATGGACCAGGAGGGAATCGAACCGTTCGTCTTCACATTCGTGCATGCAATGCTAGAACACTGCATCTCTGGCCTCTTCCGCCCCGCCCACCTACTGAAGCACCTATACTCTGTATGTATGACAGCTCCACAAATACCCTATATTATCTGTTGCTGCAGCACACCTTTTCAACAACTGTCGACTTTTCGCGAGACTTCCGTGGCTTTCGTGAGCAGCTCTGATTATAAAGCAACTGCAAAAGCTGCCAGCTACAAGGCCA